TGCATGCCATGGTGTGTCTCTCTTTGAAGATTAATCCTGCCGAGGACTTTCTCCTGTTCTACAACACCCCTGCACCTGTGTGTGCTGCGATTAACCCCTCAGCTTCTTCTGCTTCTGTGGGTCTCCTTCAGGCATTCTGGGCAGACAGCCCATGTCCCTGAAGGCCGTTCCCTAGAAAAGCGTTAATTTGTCCCTGTTTAGCAGCATGATCCACTCAGCATGCTTGCTGTTGTGCAGGAGACCCTGTCCATCGGCAGTGCTACTCCCAAATCTTCTCTAAGGAGGTATCAGATTCAAAAGCTGCCCCTTTAGCCCCTCAGCCTTCCTTTTCCTGATGCTCTCCATAAACCTCTCCTTTTGTCTCTTACCTACCACCAGAAACAAAAGCACTGAATGAAATCTCTCACCTAGCAGCTTTGGAAGTCTAGAGGTATTCTCATAACACAACCCACAACCCACTTCACATTAGCACCTTCCTGGATAAACAGTAAGGGAAGAGGCTGCTCACCAGGCCTTTCCTATGTAATTGCTTGTCCCTTCCTTCACAGAACCATTGAATGTGTGGCTGATATCTTGTCCTTGCACAGCCAGGCATGGCTGCAGAGGACCAGAACGCTCAGGGAATGAGGAGTAGTGAGTCAATAATGGGAGAGTCTAGAGATTTTCATAGTCACTTTGTCACATCAGAAATGTGTCACTTTTCTGTTTTGCCCTCAGTTCTATCATGGATTGGGTAACAAGGATCCAGGCGTGAAGCAGATACACAGGGTCAACAGTGATCTAGAGTACAGCATGTTCTGCATGCCCTCATGTAGCCTCTGTGAAGAAAATTAGGTGCTCAGGTGCTACACCTAACCACCAGGTCACCTGCTGTAACTTGAATGACAAGAGTAACAGCAGAATGTCCTCCCCACTAAGTGGTGTTCCCTCTGACCTCTTCAGAAAGACAACCCTAGAATCTACAAAAGGAAAGTCGGCAGCAGTCCACATCAGTTCCCTATGCATGAAATACCAGCTGGAGGAGATGGGCCCAGCCTTCATGTCCACAGACAATTAAAGGGCAGAGATTGTTGACAAAACAGAAAATCAGAAGGCTTCTTTGTATCAAAGGGATGATAGTCGCCAAGTGTGTGCAGCACAAGTTGTGTGTCACTTGAAGTGTCCAGGCTGCCCTGTCCCTTTGTGCTGAATGGCACGAGTTACCTGGACTAACATAGAAGTCCCCTGTGGATGGGAAGAGACCAGCAGGTCTGGCCTGAGGCCAGTGGAATGATCTGCAGCCTCGACTAAGAGACCATATTCCTTGGGCCCTTATGATGACCCCCTGGGAGCCATGTTTAAATTACCATACTTTCCTGAGTCACCTAGATGATCTTGGGAAAGTTCAGTGCTCTGCTGGTAAGCTACAGCTCCATAACTCAAGGTGGGAGTGTGGCGGCAAACTGAAACTCCAGAAACCTTTCAGGGATAGCTGGGGGTTAGAGGTTCTGGCCCTGCCCTTCAGGCTTACCTCCATCTGAAGCCATCCCCACAGGGTTGGACAGCGCCCACAGCTGTCTGGCAGCCTTCGAAGGGAGGAAAGTCAAGTGGAGAACCCAGAGAGCAACGTGGCTCCAGTTGCTTCTCAGGGTCCAAGTACAACTGGGGAAAGTTTAAATGTAAATAGCAGTAGAATGTGGGGGTCAAGGCATTCTACAGTGGGGGAGGGGCAGAGACCCAGGAGGGCTGGGTGGGGAGTTGACAGACATTCCATTAAGGGCTGTGGCAGGTGGGCCAGAACCTCAGTTCCCTCTAAATAATAATACAGAGGCAAGATGACTGGTGGGTGCCCAGGCAACTTGAATATTCGCTCTCACACGCAGAGGCCAATGGTTTTGCTGATGTTTTCTTCCTTCATGTCTTCATCCATAAGCCTGGTTTTCTTTCCTTCATCCCACCCGATGTCCTTCTGCATGAGTAGATTCTTGAACCATTTCAATGGGTTCATAAGTTCGGTCTTTAAGCTCAGGTTTGCCAATACATATGTCTATTTGCATGTGTACATCATGTGTTTATATAATGTGTATGTATACATAATGTGTATACATCGTCCTTACTCACACATAATTCTGGCTAAAGATGATTTAAAAATATGAAATATCCATGGTAGCCTCTAGACTTCATAGCCGTAGAGAAGGCTCTGAGAAATAGGGAGGCAGAAAACCTACTCTTGCCCTATGGTAAAGATGCTTCATATTTCTCTTTTCCTTTTTATGCAAACATTAGAAATTCTCTATCCTTCTTATGTCTGTGTAGTTTGAGAAGATCCAGGCTTCCACCCACCCATCCCTAGTACTCATTCCTCTGTGTCCTCCACATGGTAGTGGGAGCTGTCCCCTGGGATCCTGGCCACACTGCTCACTGGATTCTCAATGGCTTGTCTCCATCACATACACTTGTTCTTTGGAATCCGATTTCATTGTTGCATGGGTGATATTAATGACTTGATGTCTTGTCTTTGGCATCAAGTTGTTTTAGTTTGTTGTTGTTTGTGTTCACGCTACGATGGTGGTGGAGCCACACACACCCAGTGAGACGCATAGGTGAAGTTTTGTGTTTTGATCTTTAGCTGAGCTAGTGCTTCTCTCATCATCTTCTGTGCTGAAGTGCTGCTGGGACAGCTAACCACACCTTTCACAGCCATGTGACTTCAGGGTACATATGTGATGGTCTCTGCAGCAGGGAATCGTACATCTCTATTTCTAAATATGTTTTGTACTTGTCTTCCTATCATGTCTAGACAATGCCCATGTGTTCATACCATTAACACCTATAAGGATAAAATGATTTTGTGGCCAGTTGCTGTTGACTTAGGCCTGTAGTCCAAACTAGTCAGGTGGCTGATATGTCAGGATCAAAGTTCAAAGCAATCCCAGGCAGAGACTCTACTCTCCAATAAACTACTCCAAAAAGTGAGAAGTGGGGCAGTGTCTAGTGGTAAAGCAAAAAGACACCCATAGACAATACACAGGCCCTAAGTTCCAGTCCTACTTCTGCCAAATAGAAAGGGGGAAAAAGATGATTTTTGTCCAAGTTTGGGTTAATGTGAGGGTCTGATAATATTTCTTGAAGGTTCACCCAAGTTACAGATTTTTGTATCCATAGAACAGTAACTATGAATTGGAAGTGTGAATTTGTGATAAAGTTGGGTTTTAAGACTTGCGTAGCAATCAGTTAAGCACCAATTGTGAGTATATCTGAAGAGTAATGGTTTTAAGAACTCTTAAAAATTTGTGTTCTCATTTGCATCTTGTGACAATTGCAGTTCTTCAATGTCCAACTCACAGGAATTTAATACTCACAGTTTATGCCAAGACCAAAAGACATTGCTCGAAAATGTACAACGAGACATAGGATGAGTATGTGGGAAAATCCCAAAGGAAAGTTTATGCTACATGATGGACTTCACTCCTTGCTGGCACCCTACAGATGGGAAGGGAAGAAAAGTCCAGAAGAACTGTTCCACTTTGTGACCTTTCTTGGAAACAGAACACTGTTGGCTGAGATATTTTGACCAAAATGGGTGTTGTATGAAGAGTGACAGGGGCCAGGCGGGAATGGAAGGTGGAGCATCTCAAGTCCAAAGCCCCCAGGGTAGTGGTGGGGGGTCTCCCTGGATTGGGACACTTGTGTAGCTCCATGTCTCAATGCTTCTCTAATATCCTGTTTCAAACCACCTATATTTTTGAATCAACCTGTGCATATTTCCATCAAACGCCTGCACAGTGTTTGGTCACAGTGGCAGGGGTGAGGACACACAGAGGCTGCCCATATGCATACCTCCGTGTAGGCTTCAGTCTTCTGTCACATGGAATAATTGCTTTCTTATATGTAGCTACCTTTCTGCTCTGTTTGGCCGCTTCCTTGTACGAGTCTCCTGAGACCTTACTTGGGGTAGAGATGTGCAGATATAATGAAATTATTTCAGCTATAAGTTGTGAAATCACTGCACGCAGAGGCAATGCCTCGAGCCATGTTGAATGCCAGGGAGGAAATGCCAGTGACAGTGCACTGGTGGAGAAGCATCGCCGAGTTTCAGCAGACAGAGCCCCTCTGCCCTCTCAGAGGGGACTAGCCATAGTAAGAGGCTCTATTTTGTCCTTGGAGCTTTGCAGTGGGCATACCTTGCTGGGGATAGCTTGAGGATGTTGCTGCTGCCCGTGGAATGAGAAATCAGAGGAATCTGCAGGGCCCTGACAGGGGAGTGCTGGTGTTGAAAGGGTTAGTAACTCAGGACAGGTGTTTTTCTTTCACATTTCTGACTGAAATTTTGCAGTATGTCTCAGAGAGGGAGGGAGCGAGAGAGTAAAGGGGAGTGAAGGAAAGAGAGGTTTGGAATGAGAGACAGCAATTAAAAGGTACCCCATACCACATGAAATCAACCAACATTTGCCAAGGCTTTCAAATTGAGGAAAGCTGTCACTAAACTGTGAGAGCATCCACATTTACTGGGGAATCCCTGTGTGGAGGAGATGTACATAGCAGAGCAAAGCTGTAGTATGAAAAGCTCTAGGAACACAGTGTTGCCCGGGTCTGAAACTCGGTGCCAGAGGGGTCTTAAGAGGAATTTGGAGTTGGGTGGCGTGCAGTGCAGGGGTGTCAGGTTGGTGAGTTTGGAAATCAGGAGTGTGCATGTGTGACCGGCTGTTTTAAGGAAGGGTGACAGCCCACGTTCTGGGAGGGGCCTCCAGGGTGGGCTGTGGCATGAATCCACGAGGGCTGCGCATGCGCCCAAGGAGGCGCTCTGATGCTCCACCTTCAACTGTCAACTTCCTGGTGGAGATGCGCAGGCGCGAGCCTGGCCCCTCACTGGGGAACATTATGCACAGGAGCGAGCGTTGATGATGTCATTCCGATGGTGATGTCCAGTCTGTTAATAAAAACACGTGTAATTGCAGCTCAGGGCTCAGTCTCCCTGAGCTTGTGAGTGCGCTGCTGCAGTGTTCTGCCCTGGGGCTTTAGCATCCCGTGTCTGCGTGGTGTCAGCAGCCTGTGAGCCTTTAGCATCCCTGTCTGTGTCCGTGGGTGGTGGCAGTAGCCCGTGGCCTGTGGGACTCGGTGCCCTTTGATCCCGGCCAGCTACCTGGCAGTTTGTGCACCATGGGTACTGGCGAGTGCCATAACCCTGCGATCTCATTTTTCGGTGGGATCGTAGGCCTTCGACTAGAGGATGCAGGGTAATAATGTGTTGTAAGCCTGCAGGCATGGCCCCTTCAATATCTCTCACAGACTCAAGAAGGGAGAAGCTTGAGGGAAATGGCTGCTGTGCTTGAAAATCCATGTCCAGTTCTGCTAAACAGTAGCTCCTTTCATTGCACAGTGATAGAAGGTCTGACAGACCTGCTTGGTGCACTTATCCTTATGGAAGTGAGCACATCTATCAGCATCCAGAGTCTCCCTGTAGTCATCAGTGCTCTTGATGCCATTGCAGAATTTCATAAGCGGCTCTAACTGAGACTGAAGTTGTCACAGCATGACTGGCTTCCGATGGATGCAAGAGTGTGGTGAAAATCAAGCCTGGTGTTTAGTAGTTGATCAAAAGGATTGTGTGCAACTCATGTGATAGTTCTGTAACATTTATTATGTATTCAGAGTCTTTGAGCGTATTTGCCCATGTGAGGCCATGACCTGCTCCTTTGCAGGTCAGTGATTGTATTACAATGTGTTATTCTTGACAATCTGGCGACCGTTACATTTCACAGAACTTGGATGATTTTCTATATGTGTTTTAGGACATTACTTGAGAAATTATTTAACTTTATGTTTTTGAAATTGAGAGTGAGAAGAAAATGTGTGCATTTACATGTGTGACTGATGATGTGTCTGAAACCGTTCAGAATATTGTAAGTCACAATAACAAGTGTATGTATTTATAGGATGTGATATCCTATGTTTATAAGCTTATCTTTCAGATATGATGCTTGCAAGTCAGTTTTTAACATTTTTCCAGAACTTTTTCATTCAGACCTGAAAGTATATCATGCCAAACTTAGAAGAAATCTGTGCATATGCTAATGGATCTGATAAAGAAAATGTTCATTTTTTCTGTGGATTTGAAATTGGTTTAAGTTTTGGGTAAAATATAGGAGGAATACTTGTATGTTCATGAATTGCTACATGTTTGGTTTCTCTATGTTGTTACCAATTTTATTTCCCAGAGGAATTCTTATATCTCTTACTGTGTATTTAGAAGAACACTGAGATTGTGTTTCTGTGTCTGTGTGTGTGTCTGCCTGTCAATCTGTTGTAAATATTGTAAGAGGTTTCTTCAAAGTATGAGGCACTGGTGACCACACTTGTCACTGGTTCATGGACATAAGCTTTGGAGGATAGGAGCACTATATTATGTTTGGATCTTCAGTGTCTCACTGTCTCATGCATGCCTTCTTTTTGATCTTGCTTGGTTCTTAGGTAAAACTGTGATTGGCAGCTGTGGGAGCCAGCTAGGTAGAGCCTAGTGGGAGGGAATTAGCACACTGTAAACAAGCCTCTTAAAGGGATGCTTGCACTATGGACACTCTTTTTATTCATGTTCACCACAATGAGGTGGGGAGGAATCATCTACTACAAACTCTCCAACATGATGCACTGCCCCACAACAAGTACAAGACAAATAGTGCCACGTGGCCCAGGACTGGATCTCGAGAATCTGTGTACCCAAAATTTATCCTCCTTTCAATGATTCATTCTGACTATTTTATTATAGCACCACAACAGTTATGAAATATTCATAAGTATGTTTGTTGGTATCATATGAGTGAGTCGTTGAGAAATTTGCCCATGTGAGGCCATGTTCTGGTTTTGGAGAATAGCTCCTTTGCAGGCCAATGATTATATTACAATGTGTTATTCTTGACAACCTGGGGCCTGTTACAATTCTGTTACAAATCTGGTGTTTTCCTGGGTAGGACCTTACTTTATAACCACAGCACAGCAGGCCTCAGCCCCTCTGTGTGTACAGACTCAGCTGCCATACATGCAAGTCGCAGGGAACAAGTGACAAAAATCAACTTGGGGATTTGTGGTCTAGAAACTTCCTGCCAGCTGTGGCTTTTTCATGAGCCCAGTGGGAAACACTTGTAGTATCAGAGGCAAGATTATAATTGAAACATGGAAGGAAGCTCATGGCCTCTGCTGTGAGGACACCCAAATCTACTCATCTGTGGCATAGAAGTGTCTGGGAGCTCAGGTGAACAGTCCCAGGCCCCTCTCAGCAGCATGCCATGAGCAGTGGCTGTGCTGCCAGGGAGGAGGCAGAGCCCAGCCGAAGGCAGACACTGCAATGGTGCTTTTAGGATGATCTTTCCTTTGGGTCCCCTTGGTGAAAACCTCAGTACTGTCCTGTGCAGAAGAGAAATCTGAAGAGTTGTCCCGCCTTCAGCACTTCTCAGTGGGTATCAGGTTCCTCAAGGAGCAGTGTGGACCAGGGGAACTTACAGATTTAGGAGCCAGTCTGCTCTTGCTGTGCCTGAGTCTGTGTGAGCTCTGTGAGTCTGGGCAAGCTTTGCTAACTTCTGAGCCTGGTGTTCCTGTGAACTGGAGCAACTCAGCTAACTCCAGGAGCTGTGAGGATTATAGTCAGTATGTGTGAAGGACTTTGCTTAATGAATGGTGGCATAGTTTGAGTAGATGTCAGGTATTCAGTGACAGGTATTCTGGAGCTTTGCAAATACATGTTCTGCCCTTGACCCAAATGCAGGCCCCCTTCCTATCTTCACTCAGGGCAGTAGCAAGTGTTCTGAAGCTCAGGGGGAGCATGTGGTCCCTGCTCTTACACCTGAACCTCATCCTCAACATTTGCCTCACAGTGACATGAGGGCTGTCAACCGAGTCTCTTACAGTATTGAGATAGCATGGACAGGAGCAGATTCTGCAGAGCACCCTTCATGGTATCTGCAATCAGACAACCGCATAGAACCACAGGTCTACTACAGTAACCTGCCATTGCATGAAATTGATTCCACCTTGTGAGGTGTGTGTGTGTGTGTGTGTGTGTGTCTCAGAAGTGGCCTGAAATTCCTTCCCTGTCTCCATCCCTGCCCTATACCATGAGACTCAGTAAACATACCCCTTCTGATCATTCATTGTATGTCTGGGCTCTGCTGTGAGTCTTCCCATATTGGGATCTTGCTCTTGGTCCTCCATGGACAGGGGAAATTTGTTAAGCTTCGTGTTAGAGGAAGGAGGCAGTCCAAAGGGCTTGTGTCTCTGTTATGTGAGTCTGTCCAGAGGGGACAGGATGACAGCCTACCCATTAGGGTCACCTGTCTTCCATGATCTCATTCATTTCCATCTCTCCGAAGAAACACATGCTCTATTAATATTAATCACACCTGCTGGGTGTTACACTCCTCTGAGTGTCTCTGTGTGTCACAGCAGCAGACAGCAGGTAGACCTGAGAAGGAAGTACAGTCTCCTGCCTAGACTGAGGATTTCACTTGTGGAAGAAACTGCAATCATAAAAACAGTTTGATAAGATGGAATAGGCTTTCTCCTTCGTACTTCTATATTCTGGTTCCTTTGCAAACTAGAAAAGTTTGGTAGGACTTCAATATGGTACTTTATCCTTCATTTCTATCTGCAGATCAGAGAAGATGAAGAGTTTTTCATCACATTACTGATTCTATGTAACCTCAGGGCTGTGTGTCTCTGTGTGTGGGTGGGGGTACTTGTTTAGGTCAGGGTATTGATTTTGTTTTTGCTCAAAAGGCTTAAGTTGCTAAATTCTTTTTCTGCTTGCCACTTAAAACCATCTTTTTACTACTAAAGGATTTATTTCTCACCACCCTGTGTTACTAATGGCATTGACTTACATGCAATGTACTGTTCAAAGTCCTTTACAGATGTTCATTCCTTTTTCAGTCTTAATAGCTCAATAAGTCCAGCACTGTTGTCTCTGTTTTCCACAAGAAGAAACTAAGGCCCAGAAAGTGTCAAAGGTGAGGCTAAGTACTTTCAAAGGACATAAACTAAGCAGGATGTAAAATTCAGGGTTAAAATCCAGGTGTCAGGCAGCTGCATTTATCCCCTTTTCTTCACAGCCTCGGAGTCCTGGTGTATTGTTTTCTCCTTCTTACTGTTGGGAATGCATCACGAAACTTGAGGTCATCTCTACAATATGAGCAGCTACCCATTGTCTGTAAGCCCTTGGTAGTTTGCTTATCCAAGAAACAACTTGGACAGTGAAGGACCTTGGGGAATTGCCCCTCCCCAGACCTATTTTTCTTTATTGTTATGATAGATTTGCTATACACAGGGGTTGCAGTTACATGAATCAGGTAATGAGTAAAATTCTTTTGAACCATGTTTCCCCCTTCCCTCACCCTCTCCCACGTTTTCCCTCCCACCCACAAGGTGTACAGTTCAGTTTCCACATAGTGTCTCATAAGTACCACTGTGGTATTTGTTCACTCTATATTCCACCTTTTTTCCTATCCCCCTCTTGTTATCCCCAAAACAAACCAACAACACAAAAGGAAAAGAAAACAAAAACAGCAGCAGCAGCAAAAAGCTATTTCTTATATTCCTTTTGAGTTCATTTCATAACAGATTATTTTATATGATGATATGCACATGGCTATTGAGCCTATGTCAACCAATCCTTCGCATATCTTCCTTTGGCTTGAGTGAATGTCTACATTCCCACATATTTTATCATGAGCCGTTGTGTATGTGTGTTTGCCTGCATATATGCATGTATATATATATATGTATAGATGTATCATCCATTCTGTTTACTTGCACATTTATAAGCTCCTTCTAATTGCCACAAATGAGGAAAATATGCAACCTATATTTCTATGGCTCTTGCTTATTTCACTTAATATAATTTGTCCAACTCT